TAATGTCTCATATAATACCATTTATCCAATAAGTATTTTTATTTATACAATTTGTATTGGTCATTTTTGCTTTTTAATTTATATACGGTATAAATATTCTAAAAAAAGGATTTGATACAACTTGGAAGTTTTTATAAAACAGAAAAATATTGATCGATCAAGGCTATGAGACTAGAAAGGGAAAATAAGTAAATGAAGCCAAAAAAAAGTTAGCACTAGGAAATACACACCGAAAGGATTCTAACCAGAATTTTTCAAAGTACAGTCTAAGTAGCACTGATTCTATTGCATGTTAACAGTTGTTGAAAAAACAACTGTTATGAAAACAAAAAGAAAGATGTAGTTCTGGTAAAAAAATAATGAAACAATATAAAAGAAAACACTGCAGTAAACAAATTTAAGCAATTCTATTTATAATAGTTTTTCTCGGGGCATTTAATAATGTAACAAGCATCCGTCAGGATTTTTGTTTCATTTCATACGATGAAATCACAAAGTTTTTTTACAAAAACAAACCTTTTTGTGGCACTTAAGTCTGGGGCAGATTTCTCTCCTTGGTATTCAGAAAGGAGAAATTGGGCTGGGTGTGGTGGCTCACTCCTGTAATCCTAGCACTTTGGGAGGCTGAAGCAGGAGGATCACTTGAGGCCAAGAGTTCAAGAGCAGCCTGAGCAACATAGCAAGACCCCATGTCTACAAAAAAATATAAAAATTAGCCAGGCGTCATGGTGCATGCCTGTACTCCTAGCTACTTGGGAGGCTGAAGCAGGTGGATCACTCCAGCCAAAGAGTTTGAGGTTGCAGTGAGCTATGGTGATGACACTGCATTCTAGCCTGGACAACAGAACAAGATCCTATCTCAAAAAAATAAAAAAGGGGAGGTTGGTGGATATTAAATGATAAGAGTAGAGAAAATCTGTAACATCATTTCTTCAGTAACTACAACAGTAGTGTTTCACGTACACGTGCTAATGTTACACATAAAAAAGTTTTAAAAACTGAATTGGTGTAATAAAGTTTTGTGGGGATAGAAATTTTATTTTTAATCTTTGCATTGTTATCTGTTTGCATCATTTTCTGTTACAGTGTTCACTTATAACATAAAAACTCACAGGGACAAAACAACAATAAATACAAAAACAAGTTTTAAACTTTGAGTTGAACTTTTTCATATGGTAACACCTAAAATGCACAGACCTGGCTATATCTAAATGCCCACTGTTTGACAGACAAGGAAACTAGTTATCGATATAGTAACTATGATAAAAATTATAAAAAAATGCAAAGTAAATTTATAAATTTCATTAAATGTAGCCTTACCTTTTCACCGAAATGCTTACCTTATTCATCTGCTAAATTCAAATGGTATAGGTAGATAGGTAGATAATTGATTGATACATGGATAAATGTGATATAGTATAGATGTGATATCTGTTTGGACCTCATGAGTAAATATGTCATCTATGATAAAATTCTCATTTCCCAAGCATTTTGAAGCTTTTTTCTTTTAAATGATTTATTGCTTTTTGACTATTTGGATCAAAATGATAGGAAAGAGTAAATACAAACCAAGTCATTTACATTATACATCATAAAGTTCATTTCTAACTATGTTAGGTAAAAATTCAAAATTAGAAATATATTTTAAGAAATTGCTAATGGAGACATATATAGTCTTTAATACTGTGCAGCTATTTCCTACAAAGTATTATTCTGTAAAACACTCCAGTAAAATGACTTTGATGAAACCTGAGTAAAATAAAAAATGTAAATATTTATTTTATCCCTTTTTCAGTAGTGTAGGAGCAGGCTGGAAAAAATTAGAGGAAGGACCATGCCCTTTTTCAAGAATGTTTTGTGAGGTCTCACAGAACAAGCGACATCAGATAAGGTGGATCTTGGGGATTGTGCAGACCTTTTATGCCTGTGAAAGTTCTGTTAGCATGTTCACAGCAGAGCAAAGTATTAAACACTTTAAATGCTTTGAAAAATATAGTTATAGAGTTAGAAAAATATATCTGCACAGTGAAGTATGAAATATGTAGGCAATTTTAAATTGAAAACTCATTATTTCAATTCAGTAACAACTTATATTCATTCCACTTTATAGTTACTACCCTTTTACTA